ACATGCCATCCCATCCGGTTTGCATTTAGTTGGACGATCATTTATTTTTCAACAGGACAATGACCCCAAACACACCTCCAGGCTGTGTAAGGGCTATTTGACCAAGAAGGAGAGTGATGGAGTGCTGCGGCAGATGACCTGGCCTCCACAGTCACCGGACCTGAACCCAATCCAGATGGTTTGGGGTGAGCTGGACCGCAGAGTGAAGGCAAAGGAGCCAACAAGTGCTAAACACCTCTGGGAACTCCTTCAAGACTGTTGGAAAACCATTTCAGGTGACTACCTCTTGAAGCTCATAGAGAGAATGCCAAGAGTGTGCAAAGCAGTAATCAGAGCAAAGGGTGGCTATTTTGAAGAAACTAGAATATAAAACATGTTTTCAGTTATTTCACCTTTTTTTGTTAAGTACATAACTCCACATGTGTTCATTCATAGTTTTGATGCCTTCAGTGAGAATCTACAATGTAAATAGTCATGAAAATAAAGAAAACGCATTGAATGAGAAGGTGTGTCCAAACTTTTGGCCTGTACTGTATGTATTCAGTAAACAACAGTAAATAAATGAATGATACATCAGCAGGATTCATGCAGGAAAAATATTTATTTTGTGATTGTTCAATAACACAATAAATAGTTGAAAATAAATAATCCAAATATCATTGATAAATAAATAGCACACAGTCTGTAAATACACTTTTTAAAAAAGTACTTAAACACACCATCTTGATGTAAAATATAAGTTAAATGACTACGTCAAAATAATAAATATGTCCTTTTAAAAAGTCATAAAGTCGACTGAAGTGTTTTCCAGATCATTTGAATGTAACACAAACTGCTACTATGCAAAGTAGTTCTGCATAGCTTTGTGAAACTGCCAATCTGTAAGAGCTCAGTGGCTCATTTAGTGTGTTCGCCAGAGTTCAGGTACGCGATGGCTCTGTTGATTGTGATGCTGCGGACGTGGAAGCCCTTCAGCACTTTGCAGAGGCTCAGTCTTTCGTCATAGGTGCTTGGGCGGTCAGCAGCCTGGAAAACACACAGAGAAATTATAAAATGAGTCATTACAGTTAGACTGTGATCGGTCTTACAGGTCAAGGGGCACTTCTTTTAGTGTTGTCTGCAAGTTTAAAATCAAAGAGACTTGATTAAATACAAAAAAGTAACACAGAACTTTATCATAACTCATTGTTATTGCGTGCATTAAGAGATCTCTTACCTCGTTTTCAGCCAAGTCTGTTGGCAGAGACCATTTGAAGCAGTTCTGTAAAAAGCAAATGTCTGTCATGATCAAGTCAATATTGCACATGTGGCTGTTGATCTAACAGCCAGTGTTATAGTAGTATTGGTGTAAATGCTATTTAACAACACTGAGGTTGAATGCTGCTGGTGAGTTACCTCCATGAGCTCTCTGAGGCTCAGCAGAACAGTTGGAGCCAGTAAACTGTCAGGGTCCGGCTGAGCAGCTAGAAATTTGTAGTAGTGAAGCAGATCCTCTCCGATGTTTGTCAGACATGAGTCCTGGATCGAAGAAACAGCAAAGAAATTCATAAAGATACATATTCATTGTTACAACAGCCCGGTCGTTACGTCTATGTCTATCTTTATTAAGCTCATAATGTTCAGTTTTTGTAGACACTGTCGGGAACGTGTAAATTCAATTATATGTTTATTATTGAGGTCAAGTATGTGCATCAGGGATTGTAATATCTAGTCCTAAACTGAACTGAATGATAATAATTAAATGCAGTCTTGTACAACACCATAACTATGACCTCACAGCTAAAACACTGAATTTAATTAACACCCCTATGACAGTATCATCGCATTACAGATTGTACAGGTGTAACTAATTAAGTGAACACTGTGTGTTTGGATAAACTTAGTAAATACAATCGCTGAAAAGTGTCTCAGATTGTTTTTTCCTACTTATTTTTAATGCGTACATTTGAAAGTCTAACTTAAGTAATTCATTGGCTCTTAAAAGAGACATAAAGGTAGAAAAATAAACAATAAAAATATAAATATTTGTCACAAAGACAGAGCAAAACCTACCTGATCAAACTGTGAGTTAATTATAACTGAGCACGTTGATTTCTGTGGGACAAACACAGTGTAATTTTAAGTAAGACAGGAGCACAGTTAAGAACAAGCTCAATGCAATTTAATTTGTGTTTAACATTTCGTTATTATCATTATAGAGTATTTTGTCTTGTATATAACTTACATTTATGTATGAGAAATGTGTCATTATTTACCTGTGGTGCACACACAGATGGCGTGTTAGTCTCCATGTTCAGCTCCACACTCTGCTTTGTGCAGTCGATTCCACTGAACAGGTTGTTCTAGTACACAGAAACAGTTTTAACATTTTAAAACTGTAAATTAAAGACAGATTAAAGATGGCAGTGCAGGAACTGATAATTTAGCTCTTTAGTCTTACCTGTGTGAGTGTGTCAGTGATGTTCTGTAGCAGAGTGTGTGCGTATAAAACACAGGTGTCCGTCATCGGTCCTGTACCCATCAGTGGCACAGACTGGCTGACCTGAGAGCAGGCGAGCACGAGGAGCAGCAGAGCAGGAGTGAAGTCTGAGTGGAAAAGAGACAATATAGTTCCCATAGTAAGCCTTCAGTTACTTTGCTGCAAAAGAAATACAGTTCAGTCAGAGTGCGTTATACTCACAGAGCTTGACGAGAGGCATCTTGGATAAGACTTCAGGTTCTTCAGTGTAACTGACTGAACTCAGACATCCTTAAGTGTTTTATACCCAGAGTGATGCAGGGATTTTCCTCACCGTACAGCAGCTTGTTGTCACCTTACTGTAAATTGAAAGTGCACAGTCAAGGTTGTGTAATTTTCCCCCTATATAGCAAAATGCTTTGGTGAAACTGGAATTAACATTACACTGATGAGTAATGGTGCTTCAGACTGGTAAACTGTTCATTGTTGACATTTCCAAAGAGTGGAGAGTGAAAGCATCATGTTTGTGCAATATCTGCTACGTCCAGTGGATCAAGAATAACACACACACACACACACACACACACACACACACTCTTTAAATGTTAAATGTCAGAGAGAAAGGAACCCATCACTCAATTACAACGTCTTGTACGATCTGATAGAAGTTAAAAATGTTTTTTTTTTTTAAATAATGTTGATCTTTTTTAAATTATAAAGTCATCATATATATAGAAAAATATTTAAAATAGTGTTTGATCAATTACTCAAACCAGAATTAATAATTATTTAGCTTCTAATGTAGAAATATACTTGAAGCTGCGTTTTATTTTAACAAGTTTATCTTACATCTGTGTTAAATATCTGTTTGGTACCTGTTGTTGCCACTTTTGGGAAATTTGTTAATGATTCTTTATCAGATTTAACTGCCATAACCTACAATCCAAATCCATTTCTCTGTCTCCTAAATGACAATTCATCCTCTAATTTTAATGGTCCAGTGTGTAGGATTTAGAAGGATATATTGGCAGACATAGAATATGATATATTAAGTTTCTTTAGTGCATATATCTACATAGGGAGCAAGTCCTCGTCCACAGAATCCACCAAACTTCTTTATTCAGTGTTTTTATTGGTTTAAATCACCGGGTCTGTTTGTTTTGGAGAGGAAGAGACCTGTGGATAATTCAGCTCCAGTAAAAGCCTCCTGAACATCTGGATCTTAAGAGATAAGAGAAATTTGTGAGCACACATTAGCAGGTGCTGGGTTCGCAATTGCATTGGAGAAACATTTATTTGTAACTTGAAATTGCTGTATTCAGTGTTTTTAATAATTTAAATCACCTAATCTGTTTTTCCGGCTCCCAGTAAAAACCTCCTGAGCAATGAACACTGAAGGAATTCTAACCGTGAGAAGTACAAATCTCTCTGCTCCCTGCGAGATGTCACTAAATCCCCCTAATCTTCCTTTAATCATTGTAGGCTATTGTTTGTGTCTTTACAGCCACTGAGTCAAACAAAAATCAAACAAACAAACAGAAAAAAACAAAAACAAAAAAAAGACATTTCTTGCAAATGTGTGGTGGTGGTGGTGATGGTGGTGGTGATGGTGTTTTAGCTGGTATATTCAGTATATCAGTATATTTTGTGTATGTTCTGCCTGAAAACACAATAAACATTTAATAACCAAAATTAAAAGACAAATAAATATATATATATATATATATACAGTACAGGCCAAAAGTTTGGACACACCTTCTGATTCAATGCGTTTTCTTTGTTTTCATGACTATTNTTAAGTACATAACTCCACATGTGTTCATTCATAGTTTTGATGCCTTCAGTGAGAATCTACAATGTAAATAGTCATGAAAATAAAGAAAATGCATTGAATGAGAAGGTGTGTCCAAACTTTTGGCCTGTACTGTATATATATATATAAATGAAAAAAATCTAAGGTGGAAATTATTTATTGATTCTTGTAGTTCAAGGGTGTTGAAGTACTTGTAATTAAAAAAAAAAAAGAATAAAAATAATAATTATTATTATTATAAGAGTTGCTACTTTTTATCAACCGATGAGTTTAACTGAGTTTTATTTTTGTCACCACAGTCAGACTTGTTCCCCTTTTGCTTCTGGAAATCCTCTGCAAAACTCAGTTACGTAAGTGTCAACACTGGTGTGAATGAGCATGGGCTGCATACGTGGATGAGAGCAGGCTCACTTTCCCGATCTGCATTTGATGAATCAATCTCTTATTGTTTTTAATCATTTGGATTTACAGTGAATTACATCACCCCTTTGCAGATTTATCGAGAACACCCCGATGCAAATGAACTCTCAAGAAAACCACTTAAATATAAACAGCGTTCACACACTTGAAACATTTATTACTGGAGTTTTTTTTTTTTTTTTAACAATCATTATACAGTACAATTATCAGTGAAGCATACAATAGAAAAGGAAAATTTGACTTTGTGTTTTACAACATTCTTAAAAAGCTGAGAGTGAAAACATTTAAACACAGCCAGACAACAAGGCATGTTCTTCATCCTTTTAATAAAGTATCTTTTAACATTTACAGACAGTATGTCCATAAACCCTCTGAGCAGATAAAATAGATATATGTTTAGGTTGTTTTCTTCATATATTTGTTTTATATGTTTTTGCCATTGGTAAATTTAGCATAACAAAACTGACAGCATTTTTTAATTTGGGGGCTGTCATGCCTCCACTTTTGCTTTTTCTATCCCTATGTATTAACCAATATACATTTTTTTAAACCCATATATTGTAATTTAATCTATTGACGAGATAAAGGCATTTAACATTTACAAATTTGAATTATATAGTTCAAAATGTTGTACAGTACAGCTCTAAATGCATCTTTAAAGCAGGTGGAAACTGTAGCAGCGATCGAATTACAATGCAGCAGCATTAAAACACCACCGAGAAGCTAAGCTGCAAAATCAGCACAGAGTGTTTTATCATTTTCTATTGCAACAGCTCAGTTAGTAGATGTTTAATAGTGAATTCCAGTGATGACACAGTGCTCTTAGTGAAAGTAATGATAAACAGGTGAACGGACTATGTCTACAGATCAACCGATCAATCATCTTGATTATTATAGAGACAAACAAAAGACAAAGTTAAGTCAGGTGTGGCACCTGGAACTTGACATCCTGTCTGAGACGGTAGGTGCTCTCTCCGACCCAGCATTAACATACATGAGTGTACCGTGCAAAATCATGAAGACGTAAATCAGGGGATGCAATTACATTGAGAGGATTCCCCTAATTCTATAAAACATGGCATGATTAATCACGCTGAGTGGAAGTGAAAAGCCTGCACAAACTCAACTGTGTCATACAGAAAGTAGTGATCGCCCATCTTCTTTCAGACGTCCTCCTGTCCTTCGACATCATCCTGTGAAGGAATACATTATGTGGGATGTCTGTGTGTGTTAACATCATGGTGTATTTCTCCAGAAACAGTCAGCACAGATGGAGTTTCGTTAGTAACACTGGTGACAGTCTATGGAGCGGGAGGTAAGATGGCGTGCAGACAGACACGTGTAGACGAGGTGTTTATTTAGAGATCGCTTTCTCTGCTTGGTGCCGCTGATGGGTGTGGGCGTGCCTGTCGCAACAAAGACAGGAAGTACGTTAGAGCGAGGACAGGATATGCAGCCACATGTGTAAATACAGCTTAAACGTTATCATCTCAGCAATCGATTTTTTGACAGACATTACAGATAGAAAGACAAAGAAAAAGAAAAGGCAGATTCACCTGGTGAGGTCCTCGATGTCCACCAGCATGGCGTCCTGCTCCACGTGCAACTCGTCCCTCATCAGCAGCAACTGCACCAGCTCCTCATTTAGACCTGTGTCAGATTATACAAGGAATTAACTCTAAATACATCTAATGCATTGTTGCAGGTTTCATGGTGGTCTTTTGATTTTATTTTATTTTTATTACGAATTTAAAAGCACAATGAATCAAGGGAGCATCGTGACACAAGAATCCCAGAGGACAACACTAATAAGCATTACTTAAAACACTTATTTCCAAAGTGGTCCTCGTTGGAAACAACAAACACAATACATGAAAACATTTAGGAAAATAATATACGAGCCTGATCTGTGAAAATGGTTAGAAAATGCCTGTAACTTAAATTGTGATATTTCAGAACAGGCAAAGACCTTAAAGCTTGGTAGGAGGTTACGAAAACAATATAGAGAGACACAAATAGACCACAAAGATGCAATGAAACTGCAAAGAGACACAAATCAACAACAAAGAGGCACAAATCGACTACAGAAGGACTCAAAAAGACCACTAAGATATGCAAAGGAATTGCAAAGGGACACAAAATAACCACGAAAATGGGTAAAACAACCATAGAGACACAAAATGAACAAAAGAGACACAAAACAACCACAAAAGGGGGCATAACAACCACAGAGAGACACAAAACAACTACAAAGAGACTCAAAACAGCCACAAGGAGACACAAAATGGTCACAAAGAGATGCAAAGAAACTGTAACAAGACATGAGGACTACAAAAACAGGGAAAACAACCATAAAGAGACACAAAACAACTACAGAAAGACTGGAAACAACCACAACTAGACACAAAATTACCACAAAGAGATGCAAAATATCTATAAGGAGACGGAAATAGAACTGCAAAGGGACACAAAGTAACTCCAAAAACAGGCAAAACAACCACAGAGACACAGAGACAAACAACTTAGGAAAAAAAATACTGAATTCAGACACAAACCACCACAGTCTGTGTGTGCTGCTCTTATGTAGGAGAGGTGGTGTGGCCTTTTGCATATCTGTGCCCAGGGGTCCATGGTTTCATAACCTGCTCATGTGTGTGTGCTTGTGTTTTTGTGTGTGTTTGTAACCCACTCACTCTGAATCTGTGAGTGTAAGTCATTTGTGATGACTTGCAGCTGTCCGAGACTCATGTCCCTCATGTCTCCTCGCCTCAGATTCCTCTTCATCAAGCCCTCGCTGATGTGGGGCAGATGGGGAAGCTGCGTAACGTAAACACACACAGACAGGAAATGACTGTGTGTCTTGACATGTGAAATGGCACAGTTAAAAAAAAGTATTATTAAATATTAAATTCAACTGGATCAATGTATCTAACTGGGTTTGCAAATGTCTGAATTCCTGCTCTTTTGTTTGACGGTATCAGGGGTTTTCTTTTGGTCTCACACACACACACATTATAAACTCTGACTGACCTTCTGTTCGGGCAGTGCAAGTCCCTTATGTCATTTTATTGTGTTTACTGTAACAGCAAGTTATAGTAAGTCAGTCTATGCTCACTCTTTTCCCCCTTCACGTGTGGTAAGGATATGTCATTGTCATGATCATCTCCTAAAAAGCATAGAAGAAGAAGTAGCACAGAGCTCCACACACACACACACACACACACATACACAAATCCCATGATCTGTGTTTCCTTCTCTCTCACTGACTAACCAGGTCAGCCACAGGTGAACGTCTGTGCAGTTGGATTTGCCTCTCCACCTCCACCTGCATACGAGCCATGGGTCGAGCCAGAGCCAGCGCCACCCGGGCCTCCTCCTGCAGCCTCCGCTGCACCCGCCAGAACCCCCCGCAGTCATCTAACGGGTCCGAGTCCTCCTCCGCCGTGTCCCGGTCCGATAACGATGAGCTCTGCTTGCTCTGGAGAGGAAGTTGCGTAAGTGATATCATGATGTAAGAGCTTATTGTTCTCACACGTGGTTATTCCAAAGAGTAATGAGAGTAGTGACGAGTGACGAGACAGCAGCACATACACAAAAAACACAAAGACTATCTGAGCTGTGCATACCACAGGGGACAACGGTGTGTCCAGACTGGTCTCTGTCCTGCTGTCCTCAGCATCGCTGTCTTTGTCACTGCTGCTGTCATTGACAAAACACACCTGCAGGTTCACCCCACTTTGCAGTCTGAAGAACACAGAGTAAAGAACATGAGAGAGGAAACGTTGATCTCAAAGACAAAATGAAACTCACAGAGAGAGGGAAATGACTGATTGATGTACTGATTTTGTTTTACAGACACAAAACAAACAGTTTGAATTAAAAGAATCACAACACAGTACTTGTTAGGAATCCAGGTCTGTAATTTTAACCTCGACAAGATGATCCTAAAGGACATTTTACAAAATTGAGCTTAGACAATAACAAAGAGAGAAGTGGAAAGTAAAAAGGCCAGAAAATATTTGGATGCAAGCTTCAAGCATTTGCAGAATTCAAAACATGAATAGCAACAACAACAACAACAGTGCATTCAGTTGGTCGTTGTAGTTTCCACAAAAAAGTTAAATATATCATCAAAAAGTTTGTCAGTTTTCTATACTGTACTGTGTGTCACGTGCCAGCGTCCCTGGGGAAGTTTTTGTGTGTGGCACAAGACAGGAAGAGACACTGCGTTTCATGTTTTTCTTACACACAGTGGCAAATGGTGCCTCTTAACACTCACTCACGTTTAACTCACTAAACTTTAAGATGCTCAACAAAGGCTCGTGGGAATAATAAAAGGGATGGGTGACCAATAGCAAAAACAATTTAGTGTCATAAAGCAACAGCTATAATGATGATTCCATGTTGGATAATGAGAAAAAACTGCTGTTCAGTAAAACACTAAAAACAACCACCATTGTTCTCATACCTTTGGCCTAAGGAGTGTTTAATGGTTTGGGCTATGCCTCTTAGTTCTAATTAAGGGAAATCTTAATGATACAGCATATAATTGATAATAATTATAGTAATCAGAAGAAAAACTTTATGTATAAATCATCCTTCAAAACATAGTTACAAAGTACCTTACTATAAAAACAGATTTAAACACGTGAAAAAACAGGAAAAGAGTGAAACACACTCGAAGCCAAAAACTAAACACAATAAAACAGAGAGTAAATCGAAATTAAAAGTCATAAAACATGTTTCATGTTAATAAAAATCTGTGCTTTTCTGATGCCGCTCGTTGATGAGGTTGCCCTTTCTAGAGCCAGTGTTTGGTTTGTCTGTTCTGGGCTCCTGTAGAAACATGGCAGTGCAACATGGTGGATGCCGTGGATGACAACCTGCTCCCAGTGTAGATATAAACAGCTCATTCTGAGGTTACAAAAGCACAAATCTTATTTTCAGGTAATTATACACTAAAGAAAACATACTCATAATTCTATATTGCATTTCTGCCAGTATATCCCCCTAAATCCTACACACTAAACCTTTAAACCATTTGGTGTCCACGTAAATTAGCCATGAAGATAAAATAAAACTAAATCCCACAACCAAGAAAATTCACACATTACAAAAGGTTAAGAGTCAGAAGCAAGAGCAAAAAAAAAAAAAGAAAGAACACGTTCTCAACCTAACCTCGACAAATATCAATATCAGTATCTTTTTCACGTCTAAATATGCCGCGCTAGGTATCCTCCTGCATCTGTTGTTGACGTTCTGATATGGAGTGTCATTTATGCTTGTTACACGCATTTTGTATTTTCAAAATCAAAATACACTTCAGTTTTCACAGGGAATGTGCAGTTTCTGCTCATTAGATACACACAGTCTTTTTCTATACACATATAACGTTGGTAAAACACCTTGTGTTAATGTTTATTTCCTTGTGCAACAAAAGCACATGGTTAGGGTACAAAAAAACATCATGTTTTGGCTCAACATTCACACAGGAAGCGAACAGCTTCTACTGCCTGGTGGTGTATCATACTGCCGCCATACCATACTTCTGCGTGCCTTTCTGACACCAAAATCACTGACAAAGCAGCAGCATTTGACGACTAAAAATAAAACAATGTAAAATCTATTCACCTTTCAGTTATACGGATACTGTATGTAAATGATTAAATATTATTGCACAGTAAGTAGTACAATATTGCACAGTAGGATGTTGCACAGGAATATCACACGGTATGAAATGTGTTGTGCATTCTTGTGAGTGATGTCCCAGTCTGTGACCTAATGTACTAAGAACAAAAGCAGTTGAGAGATTTAATGGAACAGCTAAAGCCACACACATTACATAAGGCTATCCACAGCAGCTGCATCTTAACCTCAGCCTTTCCAAGAGCTCAAAACCCCATTCACCCAGTTCCAGATCATGATACTCAAACTGAAAGAACCTAACAACCCAAAGTTACCTTCCCTACACTGGGATAAGAACAATAACTCATACAACATCACAAACTGGGCAGGGTGGTGTTGGAATTTCCACCCCAAACTAAACTCCCGAGGGCGCACCTTCACCTCCGCTCGTCACATGACTCCAGTACTACCAATCAGAGCTGCAGAGTTATATCAGGCATCACTTCTTCTTTCAGGAGCATTCGGGCCACAGACAGCGCTGCACTTCCTCAAACAACAGTCAGAATCATAAGGGGGTGGCCCCATTGTTTGATATAAAAAACGCCCCCTTTAAAAGTCAAAGTGCCAGAGAGTTACTAGAGGTCAACGCTGTCATAAAACAAAGCAGAATGGTGTTGTAGGTGTAATAGTGGCTTTGGTTAACCAGCTTGCTTCTGATGTAATGCAACTCTTTCCACTACGTGTGTGCGCAAACCTCAATTACAAATATGAAATACCAACTTTGTGGGAAAAATACTTTCCTTTAGTTTGATTTCATGTGTCATATACTTGATGCACATCAAATTCAATCCATATTTGGAAGCAGTTTTGCAATAGCCTTTAGAATACAAAATAATCATTAAAAAAATCATATTAGTTGGCCTTTATTTTTATTGCACTTTTATATGTGCATGTCACAATGATGCATAGATGATTAGCAAACTAAAGGGCTGTTAAAACGTAAACAGTAAAACAATGGAGAATTCATACCTGTAGAACTATTTATCAGTCTAGATTGTTTTTGTGTGAGTTGCTGAGTGTAGAAGATATCGGCTGATATCGCTGAACTGTCTGCCTTCTCTTCAACATAATAGAACTAAATGGCACTTGACTTGTGGTGCTCAAAGTGCCAAAAACTACTTTTGAAAAACTCAACAGCAATGTCTCTTTCCAGAAATCATGACCCGGTTACTCAAGATAATCCACAGACCTTGTTGTGAGCAGTTTCATGTAGGAACTACTTTCTTCCTACCAAACTACACCCACCAACCATATCACTGCGTAGTAGGAAGTGTGCATCTACAGCTAGCTCACCTAGCACCACAGAGCTAGCTAACTTTAGAGCTCAGCTGAGGATGACGCCATTACACCAATCATCAAAAAACCCGGTTTAAACCCTGACAATCCAAGTAACTTCCGCCCAGTGCTTAATCCCCCCCAAAAGTGGGGGAACACTTTTTTAAGCGGCACCCAAGCCGCCTCACTGCGCAACTCCGAATGGAATGGTTGTGACATCTAGTGTTGTCACGGTACCAAAATTGGGACCCACGGTACGATACCAGTGAAAGTATCAAAGTTCTGAGTAGTATCACAATACCACAGCAAAAATGAGGCAGATGAGCCTTTTGTCATTTATAAAAAGATAAATCACTTTTCTATAATACATCAATGATATAGAATAAATTACTTATTGACTTATTCATACTTCAAAAACAGCATCAATAAGTGATTAACATAGGGGGGATCAAAATAAAATAAATAAATAAAATAAAAATCAACCAGCCACCCTCCTCCCCTTCTTAAGTAAAGAACAGTCCCTTCATAAGTAAAGAACAGTCCCTAAAGTGCGCTGAGGTTTGTGGACCGTTACCTGCCACAAAAAGTAATGTGAACAGCTCATTTCTCCTCTGACACGCCACATACCTGTGTGCCGCCACAGCTCGGTTGTCCAGGTACTACTGGGCACTCTGTCGCTGGTAAGCCATTATCTTGCGCTGCGGAGCCGGCATAGGCTATTTGACCGCCGTATTCCTGTCTGTGACCCCTTTCGTTTCTGCTGCTGGTTGAAATATGTAGGCTACTCACACAGCATGCTGAATGATTTATTTTGCTCGCACAAAACTATTTTTAGTCGCAAATGCGAGTGAAATGCTCGCACATAGAGCTCTGTGGAAAACAAATCACTGCCGACAAGTAAAAAGAAATAAATAATAACTTTCACCGCTCAAAGGTACTCACATGTCTGGAAAACAAACCACTACAGCAGCATATTGAGTGCCAGGTGGCCAGCGCGCACAGTTATTGACCAGCATGAACTGTTATTGACCAGCGCGTGCCGTTATTGGACGGCGCATGGACACTCGCCCTCTTGCGATTGGACTTTGAACTTATCCCACAGTAGTGGTACCTGAGGCACCGTAGTACTACGGTACTCCACCCTGCAACACTAGTGACATCAGCCAATACTGTATGTAGTTTTTAGATGTGAAAAGTTCTAGACCCATGCAAATTAGTTCCGGAACGCACCAGGGCCTTTTCTGAAAAAATCCTGGTATGCGTTCCAGTACGTTCCAGCTCAAATTAAGCACTGCTTCCGTCCCATCTCTAATCTCCCCTTCCTGTCAAAAATCCTGGAACGTGCTGTCGCCTCACAACTCAGAACCCACCTCACCTCCAATAACCTGTTCGAATCTTTCCAATCCGGTTTCCGTTCAAAACATAGCACTGAAACAGCCCTCCTGAAAGTCACCAACGTTCTCCTCCTCTCCTTAGACTCCGGACACCTCAACATTCTCATCCTCCTTGACCTTACAGCAGCCTTCGACACCATCAACCATTAATCACTCCATCCTGCTCTCCCGACTGGAATCATCTCTCCACATCACTGGCACAGCACTCTCCTGGATTCACTCCTACCTCACCAACTTACACCAGTTCATCAGTATAAATAACTGCACCTCCCCCACCCCTCCCCTGTCCCAAGGTGTCCCCCAGGGGTCGGTGCTTGGTCCCCTCCTCTTCATCCTCTAAATGCTCCCCCTTGGCAAGATCATCCGTCGTCACGGCCTCCAGTTCCACTGCTACGCCGACGACATCCAACTGTACATCTCCACCAAAGCCATCACCAACACCGCCCATTCCACACTCACCAGCTGTCTCACTGAAATAAAACCATGGATGCAAACAAACTCTCTCCAACTGAACAGTGACAAATCGGACATGATCATCATTGGCCCTACATCCCGCACCAAAGCCATCTACAACCGCTGCCTCACCTTCGATAACTGCACTCCGTCTCCCTCACCACACACCCGCAACCTAGGAATCATCTTCGACAGCCAGCTATGGTTTTAATGTATAAGTTTGTGTGTTTTATACAGTTTTATTGCTGTTTTCGAGTTTTATTCTGACTTAGCTCTATTTTATGATTTTTTTTAAAAACTGTAAAGTGTCTTTGAGCATTTGTTGAAAGCGCTAACCATTAAAATGTATTATTATTATTAATGTTTACAGAAGTTGTCATGAACAATAACATCTACAACATCACACACTGGACAGGGTGGTGTTGGAATTTCCACCCCAAACTAAACTCCCGAGGGTGCACCATCACCTCCGCGTGTCACGTGGCTCCAGTACCACCAATCATAACTGCAGAGTTATATCAGGCATCACTTCTTCTTTCAGGAGCATTTGGGCCACAGACAGCTCTGCACTTCCTCAAACAGCAGCCAGTAGCCAGTAGCCAGCATCCCCATTGTTTGATCAATGCTGTCATGAAAATAGAGCAGAGTGGAGTTGTAGCTGTAGGTGTAGGTGTAGTGGCTTTGGTTAATCAGCTTGCCTCTGATGTAATGCAACTCCTTCCACTACGTGTGAGCACAAAACTCAATTGCAAATATGAAATACCAACTTTGTGGGAAAAATGCTTTCCTTTAGTTTGATATCATGTGTCATATACCTAATATATATCAGATTCAGTCCATATTTGGCATCAGTTTTGAACTTTAGACTTCAGAATACTTGAAATCTTATTTGGTAACCTTTATGTTTTATTGCACTTTTATATGTGCAAGTCACAATGTCGTACAGATGATCAGCAATCTAAAGGGCAGTTAAACTGTAAACAGTAGGAGGACTAATGCATGCAAATTTGCAAAACCATGTAAAACAAATAAATAATCATGATAATCATAGTAATAATAATAATAAGAGATACAGTATCTAATTTTGGCGAAAGGCACTCAAAGGGACAGTTCACCCTTAAATCAAATATTCACATTTATTCTCTCACCTGTAGAGCTATCTATCAGTCTAGATTTTATTCGTGTGACTTGCTGAGTGTCAGCGATAACGGCTGCTTTTTCTTCTGTACGGTGATATGGTTGCTTGATGTAGTTCATTAGCGAGATAAGAGTTCCTACATGAAACTGCTCACAACAAGGTCTGTGGAATATCTTGAGTAACTGGGTCATGATTTCTGGAAGGAGACATTGCTGTGGAGTTTTTCAAATGTGTTTCTTGGTGCTTTCGGCACCACAAGTCAAGTGCCATCTTGTTCTATTATATTGGAGAGAAAGCAGACATATCCATGGCCGATATCTCCAACACTCGGCAGCTCACACCAAAATAATCCAGTTTGATAAATAGCTCTACATGTGAGAGGATGAATATGTATTTTTGATTTTGGGGTGAACTGTCCCTTTAAAGGGGAGCACCACCTAAATTAAGAATTGCAACATGTTATTTTCATGGCCCAGCAAAATTCAATCAGTACTTGTGAACATGAGCTAATCTCTCTCAAAGCCAGAACCCAGAGGAGGAAGTCTTGTGATGTCATAGGGTATAAAGTCTGAAGCTGTTCTACATACAGTGAATGGGAGACTGATTTTGTGGACCCGCAGTTTAAAAAAAAAGAAACCCAAATGAGCTTTATTCTACTGTAATGTTCTCAGCTGAGAAACAGAATTGTACATACACACACACACTAGGACATTCCCCTAGGTGCTCTAAATGTCATCTATAACATTTTTCATTCTCTATGGAGCAGCTCCAGACTTTAGACTTGATGACATCTCATATTTGAGTTTTAGCACTCTGGTCTTTAGATTTGGGAGAGACCCGTCCATGTTTACTCATGTTTTTGGACTGTCTTAGACCATTTGAATAACATGCATGAATTTTTAAAAAGCAAATTTTTAAAAAGCAAAGCAAAAGAATTTTTTCAGATCTGTCTGACTCATGAAGCTGGGGCACTGCGAAGTTTCTATATCAGCAACTTATCACACATCAGAGGTTAACCAATGTCAATTTCCATGGACTATAAACAACACTTTCCGGGAAACCTTCCATTTTCTCTCTGTGTGTCTGTTATGTGAATCACTTGTTCCCTCCCTCCCTCTGTTGCTAAGTCTGACATAAACACACAGGATAAATCATCTTATTTACTCAGTTGCTTGTTATTGCACAATGATGCATTGTCTACTGCGTGACTCTCAGTGTCTAAGTGGACTTCCGCAAAGGACATGCTGTAATTTACTGTCATTTGCACTTGACACCTGAGCCAACAAGCCAATCCCAACAGTTTTATCTGTTTTGATTTGTGTGTTTGTGGCTGATAGTTCTGAGTTGATAGATGAAGTGAGCTGCTGAATAGCGTCCTCTTCTGGCTGTTAGGTAGCGGCTCATGTTTGCCATGTACTGAAAATAGCACGAGATGTTACAGATGCTACAAAACATGTGACATGAAGACCGTTAAAAAGCTGTCTTGAAAAATGAATGTATCTCCAAATAACCCTGTAACACCAAAACCTCCACTGTTCCCATGATGATCATTTTATAGTTTTTAATGCGCCATTTTTAATATGTGCATATCATCTGTCACTTTCAATATAAATCCTACATGTTATATGCAGGAATGTGTACATGCACATAATGTACATAATCATCCAGTCCATGTATATCAATTCAGTATATACAGGTGATTCTGTTTTTATGTGGTAAATATATGAAGGTTTTTAATATATTATCTTGTTTGTTAAAGAAGTCAGTTTCGTAAAGTCCTTCAATTCATCTGAAAATTCAAATTCACCAAATTTGGAGATACATGATATTCTTTGGACAGCGAAGTTTCCAGAAAGACTGTGTGGGTGCTACATGTATGCACAAATACAGACACAAAAGAGGGGTTGATTCATTGGTTTGCCATATAGTGGTCAGGTGTATAATTAAAACCTTGTATTGGCTAGTCATGTGGTCTATATGAGGAGGTTCCCTATTCAGGCAAAACATAGAGTCTACAGAATCTACAATTAAGTTTGATATTTAGGCTTTTAAAGGTCCATTGTGTAAGATTAAGGGGGATTTAGGGGCGTCGGTGGCTTGGTGGTTAAAGTGGGCGCCCCGTGTGCAGGGCTGTTGCTGCGGTGGCCCGGGTTCGAATCCAGCCATAAAGGCAAAAATGCCTTTATGGCTGGATGCGGTTTGTTTTAGCAGGCGTGAACAAAGCAATCGTACTCGGGTGCGCACCAAAACAACCGGACCAAAGCAAGACAACTCTAGGTCTGAAAGCACCCTTGCTCTCCAAAACAAACAAATAGTGGTGATTTAAACCTGTAAAAACACAGTAAAGTAGCTTCACGTTACAAATCAGTGTTTCTCAGATGCTGTTTGGCATATCGGAGACGGACTGTAGCCCAGCACTTGCTGATGTGTGCTCAACTTTTTTCTCTGATAACTAAAGATCCAGATGTTTAGGAGGTTTTTTACCAGGAGCTGAAAACAAACTGGTGATTTAAACGGGCAAAAACACTAAATGAAGCAGCTCATCACAGGGGGGCTGCTAACTATGGTGACCGATGAAAATGTGAATGGTCCTATCTAGAGCCAGTGGTAGGTTTGTCCAATATAGGCTACTGTAGAAACCTGTAGAAACATACATATTCTTTTATAATCAATTTCTGCCAGTATATCCCCCTAAATCTTACACACTGGGCCTTTAAAATAGATTCATAATGTGAATCCAAATTTACTTAATCTAGGGCGTCTCACTGTTTCCCTGTCATCCACCAATAATAAACTGAGAGAACATCTAAAGAAGCGTCAGCTGTCAGACGCTAAAACACAAAAAATATTGGTGCCAGCCTTCAAAAGGCTTCATTGATCAAAGTGTAGTAGGCTCGTACACACACACACACACACACACACACACACACACACACACACTCGATCCAAACCCACCGGGAGGACGGGCCGTTCTTGCTGCAGCTGGTGTAGATGACTGGTTCGTCGTCATAGAAACTGCCAAGGGCAAGTTTCTGCCTGATGGACTCTCTCTCATTCCTCTGGGCCTGCCAGAGAAAAGAGAAAAACACATAAATATAAAGAATTTTAACAATAGAGCTGCTGCTGCTTCAGTTCCATCTCTGCGTGACTGACCAAGTGTGACATACTTGAGAGGAAACAATATCAAAATTGAGAGCGCAGGTTGCTATTTAAATCAAAGCTATAAATAAAGAGAAGCTAAGGAGGAGGGGCAAATATGGATTACGCAGGTAGATGGAAAGAATTTAGCAGTCAATCCAATTCTCCTCATTTCACACATTAGGATAATCCAGCTGAGGGCTCATGTTATAACTGTATAACAGTGTTAACTACACTGTCAAAGCTTAAGCTAACACATTTATGAAATCCAGTTCTATGGTCTTGTCTTCTGCTCCACCATAAGCTTAGATAACTGGTACAGACATCACTCCTTACGCAACACTCCTCCTCTCATTTCCTCTTCAGCCTCTAAATAATCAGTCAAACCAAAAATATCAGGGTAAAGTCATCAGTGTAGAATTTTACAACCCACGGCTGCAAATTATGATTATTGTCACTGTTGAATATCTGTCTGTTGACCAGTGTTTCCCAAAGCCCACGATGATGTTTTATTCAAAACCCAAAGATATTTGGTTCATTCTCAGAGGAGTAAAGAAACCAGAAAACAATCCCATTTAAGGAGCTGGAATCAGAGAACTTGACTTTTTGTCTTATGAAATTACTCACACCGATTATTTGATTTCAAATTAGTTGGCCATTGATATAATGGTTGGCAACTAGCCGCTCTAACGCGTTGTCTAGCCCTTTTATAGACCGACAATCTGGTGACAACCTGTCCATCCACGGCTACACAGGCCTCGGGGCCCCAAGTGTCAGGGGTCCCCTGGAATTGAGCTGCAAAATGTCAATCAAATTAACACGTGCCAACCAGGAAGAGACTTGAAATGACCACAAAGATGCATAAAAGAGACTACAAAGAGATGCAAAGCAGCTACAAAGAGATGCAAAATGACTATAAAAGGGGCGAAACAACCACACACACAAAAAAACTACAAAGAGACGTAGTAACCACAAAGACACAAACCCACAGAGGTGTGTAATGGCTACAAAGAGATGCAAAACAAGCAACAAAACAACTACAAAGTCTGTGTGTCTTGCTCCTGTGTAGGAGGGGTGGTGGGGCCTTCTGCATGTGTGTACCCAGGGGCCCATTGTCTCATAATCCGCCAGTGCTCTAAACGAATGAATCTGGCAGCTTCTGTCATCACAAACAGTGCGCAGATAACATCCTGATTGAACATGGAGGAAAAGTATACTGTGTGTTTTTTGCTTTGTCTTTCCAGATACACACACCAGACCTAAAAAAGCAAAAATATCCTCACTGTTTTTGGCTAAATACCTTTAAATGACGTGTCTCTTCTTTTAACCAGTTACAGCAATTGATTAATCTTTAAGGTCTTCGGTAATCAGTTGCAACCACAGGATTATAACTGATGTAAGAGGCATCAATAACTGTCTTCATTTTCTTGCTTGTCCATTAACAGTCCGTCATCAAGACAGCAGCCAGTATCTACAGTAACATAGTTAAACATGCTGTGCCGTCCACCTTGTGCTGATGATTCAGAATGCTACGTCATTCTGCTCTCTGTGTGCCAGCGTCATATTGCACAGTCTCACATGACAGACATTATCTCTCCTCTCGTTCTATTTGTGTCTTTTAGATCAGAAATGTTGTTTATATTTAGTTTCTCTGCATCTAGAGGTTTCGCTGCCCTTATTTCATTTTGTCGTCTTTCCTTTTCTTCTTCTCTTTATTTCCTACCTTAAATCATTTATCAATTTTGCTTTATCTCCTCTGTGCCCTTTGATCTTATTTTCTTTTTGTCACCTGCAAACATTTAAGGTCATTTGAGCTTTGTGGGTTTTGGATACACAAATCCAAAGTCTTGAAGTCTCACAGTTTTTGTCTTGAAATACTGAACGCAATGTTGCAGCATGACATGATTTCCTATTGCCCACAAGTGCCCACATGAATAACACCTCTAAAATTAGGGATGTTTCTCATATGTGTCAGCGTTCTCTCTCTAAATAACCTCAAAACCAGCCCAACACAAACACCCTTTTTGTGACGCATCATTACATGAGGCTGTGATGTAAGAGCATAAATCACTCTTGCAACCAACGCGACAGCCGGTTCAGATGTCCTCCTTACCAGCAGACTGTCTACACACACACACACACACACACACACACACACACACACACACAAAGCCTATTTTACCCCCCTAGAAGAAAGTATGTGGTGTCGGAAAAGCACTTCATGGTCGCTGTAAATAATTTATGGAACACAGAAAAGCCTGGCGTATGATTACACACATAGATGAAGATGAAATGAAGATGAAAATTATTTTACATTTTACTGAGGAGATGTAAAGACAGAGATGCACAGGTGGAGACCACATACGAACACACCCACACATCTGCTAACCATTATGGCTGATTCATCTACAGCAGCTCGCCCATGATGGCTACCTTTCATGTATACCTGTAATGCTACATAAGCTACACCCTCAGAAACAGTAACACATACAAACACAAATCCACACACCTGGTAAATGCGTTTCTCCTGGTGCACCATCCTTCAGCGCATCGTACTGAAACAGCCGCCCTGCCCTTCTCTACACTGCAGTGAAGCTAGACCCAGGAGACCCTCTCATATACTGCAGCTCCGTGCAGGAGAGGGAGGGAGGGAGGGAGCAGTGAGGGGAGGAGGGGAGGCAGCAGTGAGAGGAGGGGAGGGGGGAATGTGGGAGCAGGAGAGGAAAGAGTGGGAAGAGACGGAAGCGGAGGAGGAGAGAGACAGAGCTGCTCAGTGCTGCCACTGCTCTCCTGATCTGTTATCTGCTCCTCCATCTTCCTCGCTTGCTTGCTTGCTTGCCTTCTCCTCTCCTCGTCATCTTTCTTTCAATCGAAGGAAGGGTATAAATAGCAGCTGCTAGAAATCAGTGTTCTGATAAGAGGAGGCAGGCCTTATAGATTTACAGAAATAAGGGCACACAGCAAGGTGAGTGATGTGGAGGGTTGAGAGGCCGGGCTAAACATAGCCTGATAAATGAGACTGCAGCCCTGGAAAACAAAACCATTAAAAAGGCTGATCAATAGTAGCCTCCTCTGATGAATGTCAGCACTTCTTAGCAGCGCTGACGTGGAGTCTGCATCTGCACGTCAGCCGAAAGCAGAGCAGCGAATTTCTAATTGCACGTTTACTGTTTGTTTTGTCTCCTAAAGGAGTCTCCTCCAGCCCCATTCCACATCACAGATTCAAGTGTGATGAGCTGTAAGAGAGACGAGGAGGCAATAAGGTGTACATGCTTGCACGTGCGAAAAGAAACACAAATACACACACACAAGCAAGCACGTACACATACACACAGTTAGTTCCAACAGTGCTGTGTCACAGTGCAGCAGTGGGCTGATTAAGCAGCGTAATATTTTGAGTCATCTTTCAGCCTTCATCAGGATCAGTGGCCAAATATCCCCAGCCTTTCTGTTCCACACATTTCTCTAAGGGTACTGTTTATACCATTGTAATCATATACTGATTCAACACATGTTTATGTTTTAAACAAGATATGCACAGCTTCAAATTGCTACTGCTGTGAAGCACATTTTCCTCTTTTTGTCTTGAGATGTTTTTCTGTTTTTCTGAGTAGAAACTTTGGCAGGACATATAGACTCAGACGTAGTAATTCAGTGCTTGTGTGGCCCAGATGGAAAGAGAGAGTCACTCACAGAGATGCTGGTCCGTCTGGTTCGCCCTCCACTGTAACAGTCCTCTGCCTGTGGTGCGAAGATATCCTGGAGCTCCTCAGCCCAACTGCGGCTGTTCACCATGCAGCCTCTCCCTCCTCTCTGGTGCTGTGTGTCACTGTCTCCACAGTCCTCCCACCAGTGGCCTGTGTCGGCCTTTCTCACGAACACCTCTCCCTCCTCTTCCTCATCCATGTCCACATCATAGTCCTCCATAAAGACAAAGTGTATGGAGAGGGTGGAGCAAATGTCAGGGCTTGGGGGAGGGACTGAGTGCCCTGGCTGGGAATATGGCCACAGATGGACTGAAGATATTTAGAGGTGGGACAGAGATCTCTGGCTGAAATCAAACACTTGAATGCTGGCTGTGTTGATCACTTTCATCTCTGTGGTATCTTTATGTTTCCTGTGATCAAACAGATAAACAGATTAATGTAGTTGCAGCATTTCAAACATGAAATCATAGCAATATTCTTTGTCATTCATGCATCATTTTAGTAATTTTTAAATAAAAAAAAACATTTGCTGGTTTCATGCTTCTTCAATGGGAGAATTTGCTTTTCTTTGTCATACATGATAACAAACTGAATAGCTTTGGATTTTTGGATTATTGGTTAGATAAAACATCATCTGAACACGTCACCTTGGACTCTAGGATATTACACAGGGCATGTTTCAATATTTTGTGACATTTTATTCACAAAGCAATTAGTGATTTATCAAGAAAATAACAGGCAGATTAATTGATACTGAAAATTATGCTTAGCTGCAGCCCTAGTCTTTATGAAAATAATTCACAAAACAAATAAACATACTGAACCACAAGTGCATCCTGAATTCTACTCTCTGGTCAAATAAAGACATCAAATCATATATTGCACATGCTGTATATAGGACTCACCTTCATTGTAGAGTGCAAACACATTCTCAAGATGCCTGAAATAAAAAAATCAAAAGCAGCAATCATACCAAAACCGAGATAAGCACAGTGTTGCATAAAAGGACAATCACTTCTCCCATGCTGGACAGAGACTGTATGATGACCGCCAAAAGATGGACGTCAGGATTTCTGGCTCCTCTACAGAATTAATCCTAAACACAGTGCTCTATAATTTCAGCCGCTTTCAGAACAGATAAAATATAAACGATAAAGATGTGCATCCTTGCTCTCCAAGACGAGCATTCCACGTCTCTGTGTTGTCACGTGTGGCTTAGTTTCAGTGATGTGTAAAGATTTGTGTGTGTGTGTCGTCACAGGGTGCCCAGAGGAGAGAGCACCATGTGGAAATATATAGGAACGGACAGAATGGGATGTGTGTGCATGTGCTGTGTGACTGTGTGTAGGCGTGAGGGGGTTTCACAGAAAATAATAAAGAAAATTTTGAGCATTTAGAGACAATAAAGATTTGAAGCAGACAAATCTATTCTTTATATTTGTCTTTTTGAAATCCAGTCTCAAATTTATTCCAATGATTTTTTTATCTGCAGCATTCATAAATCTGCTCCCATCTCCATGCTGTCAGTGTCAGGCACAACCAGTCTTCCTTTGGCAGATTCAGTGGAGCAGTACGATGAGGCTTCTTGGGTACATTAGTATGGGTGAGCGATCATTTCTCATATTAGTCAAGATCTAAAAAAGTCTGAATAAATAAAGAACAGAATGAGGCAGCCAGCAGAATATCAGCATCAGCATGTAGAATTAGGATTGTGTATTTAACCACTGAAGCGAATGATCAGTCCTATTGGACAATTGGAGGGGTACTAATCTACTCCAGATGTGATTTCTTCAGTGTTTGGTTGCAAAGCAGATGCCACAAAAATGTTGACGTTTTTGCAAACCATGGATACATTTGTACGCTAACATGTCACAGATATGCTAAAAATGTACTTCTCTATATTTTGACATCTTGGTGGTTATGTGTGGTTAAGTTTAGGCACCAAAACCACTTCGTTATGGTTAGGAAAATAATGTTTTGGCTTAATATACCCACTTTTTGTGGCACTGTCCCAGTTAAAAATGCAGTAATGGCTCAGTACAAGGCAACTGCTTTTTGTGACACTATCCCCAGTGAAGGAAGGAGAAAAAAACCCCAAAACAAACATGTTTAGGGGTTAAAAAGCCACTGGAAACAGTGACAGGCCCTGCCAAAAAAGATCTAGGTTTAGTGGCTGAAAAGCTGCAGGAAATAGTTAAAAAGACTGGTTGGTCTCAAACAGTGGTCTTTAGCCTTGCAGGCGCCTAGCAGTGACACCGTCCATCAACCCCTCCTCAAAGTCAGCTCATATGTCCCTTTTAAAATGTTTAAGTACGACATTTAACATTCGTGGTTTGCAGAAGCATACAATGCCAATATTTTCTTCTATTGACTGGGCTGTTGTGTGCGCCCACCTTTTTTGGGGCAGCAGACCAGTTGTTACTGCCATGAAATTGCTAACATTTGCAGCATAGAGCTAGTAATGGCATTACCTGGATTTTAAAGTTTAAGGTCAGACTTTGCATAAATCCCAGTTGTGATGAGGCCCTCATTATGATTAGCAACTTGTCACCCATTGATAAATTGGGACTTTTCACCATGGAGCCCTTTGGCAAGGACAATTAAAGTTAATTTAGCCGTCCCTGGGACTGCAATTTAATATAAGTCACTGCCAAATTCCTTTGCGGTCAGTCGTTTAACATTTTAAGAATCCAACTTAAAGGTCATCTTTGATTTAAGTGCTAATGTGGGATTACTTTGATCTGCAATTATACCTGAGCCATGCCAAGAGGTTCAGGCACAAAAGGGAATTAACATCTGCATTATATAAGTAAATCACCAATGACAGAGTGCTGAGTAAAACAGTGTTTATTGAGTGTTCAGTATCACAGGACTCCAGCTCCTGAAACAAAGCAAAACAGTTACTTTTAAAATTCATACAAATATAATTTCAGACATGAAGTGATTCTTACCATTCATTCAGAGTGTTTAAGGCGTAGAGTTCTTCAAATCAAATGGGAGATTGTCTATGCCTGTTGGGTGTGGAAACCAGGGCACAGGTTGCCAGAAGTTGAAGCCTGGATGTGGATGTGGATGTGGATGTGGATGTGCTCGAGCCTGGGGTCCAGATTTGTAGCCAGCTTGAGGCATGTACTTCTGGTCACCTAGAAGTTTACCAGCCTTGGCATATATAACTTCTGGATTAAAGGGGAGCTGGAAGTAAGGAACAAAGTCAGTCACTAGGCCTGGATAGACGCCACTGCTGGGTTTTGTTGTCCTGGAACACTTTTTAGTTGTGGTAGTAGTAGAGGAGGTAGTTGTTGTCTTCTCTGTAGGATTTGAGTAACCCGGATTGGCAGTTGTGAGAGTTGGAGCCGGAGTGGTTTTCGTGGGTTTAGTTGGAGTTTGTATGTATGGAGGCTTTCCATAATAATGCTGGATGATTGGATAGTAGTAAATGTCAGTATTGTTAGGCATGTGTTGTCCTACTGGAGGGTAGAAGGGATAGGGATAAGGATAATGTGGAGGGTAGTAAGGGATTTGTGGTTTTGGAGTAGTCTTGGTGGTTGTTGCAGACACTGTTGTGCTTGCCGCTGACACTGTTGCGGTCGTGGGTTTGGAAGTTGTAGTCGTCACTGGGATATTTGGAAGAGGGTAGTAGGGGTAGTAAGGGTAGTAGGGGTAATAAGGGTAATAGGGATAGTATGGATATACAGGAGGTTTCTCTGTGGATGGCTTGGTAGTTACAGTGGTCTTGTCAGGCTCAGCAGTAGTTGGTGCTGGTGTCTGTCTCATCATGTACATGTAATAGTAGTAATACCAATAGGCATAATATGCGCTGCTCGGATCATACATGGTGAGGGGCTGGGTTGCGTGACGCTTGTGACGATTCAGGCCACTGGGCATAGGAGGAGAGGGAAGTTTCCAGGGCTGCTGAGCAGGCTCAGGGGCAGTCAAAGGA